AATGTTCTAACTGTCTTAGTTTTTGTGTAATAATTTTTTAAAAGTGCATTTTTTTGTTAAAAAAACGTCTTATTTCTAAAATTCAGCGAAATCGACTAATAAAAGTTTAGCGTAAAAACATTGTTTTAAAAGGCTACATCCAAAAATGCCAAGAAACATACAGTTTTTTTTTATTTAAAAAAACACAAGTTTGTATCGTAAAGTTCATAGACTCCAAGAAGGATATCGATAGGCGGAGCCAATGCGTACTCGGTGTAGTGGGGAAACTTGAGCAGTGGCGTAACACAAAACCATTCTGTGGTAAAAAGGGAATTGTAGAGTTGCATTTTTTTTCGTATATTTATTGACTGAGATATTAAATATAAAAAATTCATACGATGCTCCACGATTATTTCAAAATACGAAAATACGAATGTAAAATGCTTCATTTACTAAAAAATAAAACACTTAAAACACAAACAAACCACTTTTAATTGAGCGCACGCGTTGCAGCCGTGAAATTTTCTTTCCCTGATTCCATCTTCGTGATAAATCTACGTTGAAAAACAAAACTTGACTTTATGCAACCATTTTTTAGATAGTATGGAGGTAGTATTAAACAAAGTTTTGTTAGGACAAAACAAAATTATCAAAGGATGCCAAAAAATACTTTTTCTACAAGTTTTTTTACTACTTATGTATTTTAGTTGGCTCAATATTCTATAAAAAAATAATCCTTTAATCCTGATTTAAGCCCATAACGATTTTTGCAAAAATTGTTGTTATGGGTTTAAATCAGAATTACAGGCGATTAATATTTTTATATAACTGATGGGCCTTAGGCCTTAGTAATTTCAAATTGTCACTTTATACTCGTAAGTCAAAATGGAATTTTTTACTATAAAACTAATAAAATATATTTACTATTCTTATAGTTAATGTTTATGCAATGGTAGGTATACCTACATTTTGATAACTATTTTAAAATTTAAAATTAATTTTTTTCATTGTACTACAATATAATGTATTATGTAAAAAAATATAGGTATGTCTGCAGCTCAACTTGTACACTGCAAATAGTGATTAAAGACTTGTGGTTTGGAAATGGACTTTATTTTAATAATAATTTGAACCTTGTTGAACAAATTCTAATATCTTTCTCAAATGGTTACTGAGTATTGCAATTTGTAAAAGAACAAATGCCTTAAAAAATGTTATTTATTAATAAAGTAATAAAATATTTTCATTACAGTATGTGGATTATTTGTTTTCCTCGAATAAAAAAAAAAATAAAAAAGTGCGAATACACGCCACTACACTCCCCTATATTTACGTCCGTGACGAGTTTTCGTCTTTGCGCATCCCTTCCATCGATATCCTTTTTGGTTTCTATGAACTCTAACTTATTTTTGGGACATGCTATATAGTTGAAAATTATGTTAGGTGATGCACTAGATAAGTATCTATCAACGTCCTACACATTTTTTAAAAATTTTACTATTTAAAGGTCACTAATGAACTTTTTCAACTCGCTGGGACACTCTGTATGTAATTATTGCGTGTTTTTTATGTATCATCTGAATAAACATAAGTGCATAAATGTAAGTAACTAGTGAAGAAAAAATCTGTTTCGTGCAGTTAATGATAGACGACATTTTATTAAAAGTATTAAAAACATAGGAGGTCTAATAACTTCTCGCTTGACGTAATTTGATTTTTTTAAGTCAGTTTCCGTGTCCGCCATTTGCTCTCTTACTCCCATTATTTCCAAGACAAACCGCATAACTAGACATAATATTTGCATTATACGCTACAAACTTGCTCCTTTGCCTAAAACTGTGGTCGGAGGTAGTTATCTAACTGTACGAACGTGCTTCTAACGCCCGCACACTTTACCATTTGTTTACTTCATTCAATTAGACCAAAAGTAGCGAAGCAATTGTCTGTCATAACGAATTTCATTGAACTTTACATTTTGAGTCTCAAAATAGTATTTTTATAAAACCTGAGATGATGGTACAAAGTAATTCTATTTCTCAATATTTTTACTTAAACTTTAGTTATATTTATAAATTGCCTACTTGCAAGGTATTTTCGATCTTTCGTTACAGCCATTCATCATCAATTCATCAATCAAACTGTGTCGTATATACGTAGATGTTTCAAGTCTAAATTTCTTTGGTGAGCCTGTCTAAAGCTCAGATAAGGACTTGTGACGCGCAGTTCTATTTCATGGAGCATTTATTGTTTGGCGGCTTCTGTTTTTTTTAGCAACAATAATATTACCATTGGAATATTATTAATTACTCGTGGGTACGGGTGTTACAGGTGACAATTTTTTGAACTGATAGCAACTCAAATTTTCTTGTAAATTTGGCCAATACGAATATTGTGCAAAATGGTTTAATCCATCAAAGTGTAATTTTCAGACGACTTCCAAAAGCTAGAAAGCTCCATAACGACGGTGGAATGAACTAGACCATTGTATATTCTAGCTATATAAATTACTTATCGATTTTGCTGGTGGTTGTGTGTTGAATGAGATTAAATTCGTTCTTAAGATATAGTTCACAATTGCAGTGTTTCGTGCGCTGCTGTGCTTTATTCGATTATGTATAATATCTGAAACACCACTTGTTTGTGAAATATTGGTTTGGGTTATGGGTCACGACAATTTTAAATATTACTTCTAATTATTAACCTGTAGAAAAAAATATACACAAATTTTTGTTCTAAAAAATGAATCTTTCAATATTGTCTTAATTTCGCCATTAACGCATTTATTATATTACGGCTCATGTTTCGCTTGATATCGATTGAAAACTCGACAACGTGTTTATATATACCACAAGCAAGCTTAAAGTACATTAAAAAAAAAGAATAAAAACCTGACAAATGGGAAAGAAGAGCGCTAATTTTTTTGAGCGAATTATCGAGATTTTTTAACCGGTTTTGTCAGCCAATCATAATGAGAACCAATAACATTGATCAATTTACAGCTAGGCAATTACAGCGACTATTTTTTCACAAATGTACTTGATTTAAAAAAGAATCACGTTAAATTACATTTGTGACAATACTTTTTTGTTATAATTTTAACCAGATTAGCACTCATCTTTGTTGCTATTAAAAAATCCTACTCGTGGACTTTGTCCATTTCTATAACAAAAAACATTCGTGCATCTAGTTAAAATTATCAAAAAATTATTATCACAATATGTAATTACTGTTGATGAAAATTTCGTTTTTGTTTTAATTCGTTTTTTGTATGAAGTTTATTCTGGGTGCTCTTTTCTGAAAATACTCTTATCAGTCATTAGGATAAAACAAAGGAGAAATTCCAGACTGCTGTATTGACATCTCTTTATTCTTGAAGCTGTGAGCTTTTACGGGTATCTCGCAAATTATCGATCTGTTTTCTGCAATTGAATAGGAAAATAAATGAACTGAAACAGTCGGTAACAAATTGATGTTCGATTTTCATTCCGTGATCTGTTAAGATTGATGATTTTTACTTTCCTAATTGTTCTATTATTACGATTGTTGATGCTAAAATGTTCGGCGATGCCACTATGATTTATACGTAGAATAATATTAGCTACATCTTTTTATTTGACACTCACTTGTAATATAACATAATAATAATAATAACAAAATTTATTTTCTCACATATCAAAACCTATAAAAGATAACGAAATAGACGAGTAAGCTAACATATATAAAGAAGTAATACATAAAGCAACGAAAAATTGATTACAAACAACACAACTGCAAATGCAAGAAATTATAAGGAGAAATTAACAGTATCTCCCCGGATTGAGTTTACAAGAGGAAAAAAAAATATCTTTGATTTTACGCGAAAACATTTTTAGCTTAACTTGAAACGAGCAAATCTGTAGTTAAAACTTTATTATTCTGACTCAGTGGAAAGAAAATTTTATTTTTTTCTTCTTATTTGATTGCAACTTTTAAACACAACTCTGTCTATAATATTAGAGTGAAAATTAATTGAATTATATTTTTTTGTAAAGGTATTTTTTTCGATTTGTACCGAAAGATCAAGGTAATTTGTAGTCGAGTCATCTTTGGATCGGAAAACGTATGTCTGTTTTTGAACTAACTGCATGTAAAACGTCAAATAAAATGACAAGTTAAAAAGTGAAACGGCAAAATGGGTTGGAATTAGTCGCCGGCGCATAGGTAATAATGATAATTGATAATATTACCATTATTTTTTAAAGGTAGATCATAAATTTAGTTATTAAAATCATTATCTTTTTGATCATGCCATTTAACCTTTCGATTTGTCATTTTATTTGACGTTTTACAGACATACGTTTTCGGATCCAAAGATGACTCGATTACAAATTATCTTGATCTCTCGATACATGCATAAATTCTTTCACTACCTTTGTTTACTAATGAGTTATTCTTTAATATGCGCCGCTAATTAAGGGCATAATTAGAATTTTAACAGTCAGCTATTATTTTTAATAGGTTTTTACTAAAAATTATTATTTCGATTTAAAACAAGTCTTTAAGAGAGACACGACTTCTCATCTATTGAGATGTTAGTTCAAGCAGAGAAAGTAAATACCGACAGCTGTCACTACGACAGTGAACACGAATTGCACTACGAGTATATTCAATATAGAAATCGTAGTCAACAATTCATAATACTAATACTCAACTAAAAAAAATATCAAAAAACTCTGAAACAGCAATAATTGTTATAGGAGTACTTTCTTTGTTTTTAACTGTTGTTTTAATTTTTATTTTAGCAAATTTTAATTTGGAAGTAACTCAAGTTCCTTTTAATAAACGCGAAAATTTTATTTTATTTCGTCAGGTTAGACTCGAGCTTTCCTTAATTAGAACACTAATTATAATTAGTTTTTAATTAGCAACATAATTTAAAATTCTTTGTTGTACAATTTAAATGTGCTCTAGAGTACCTGTTTCGTTATAAATGACTTTTTTTTATGAAATCTAGTAATCATTTGTCTAAATTTTATATCGACTGTAAGATGGAAGTTGTCAGTGTGTCACTAAATGCTTTACTAGCTTCAACAAAGTCTTCTTTACAAAATAGTTTGGAAGTCGCAAAAGGAACCGATGTCAGTAAAATAACTATAAATTTGCCTTCTTTACCACTATCGCATGCTTCAAGTGGAGAATCCTCCGAACGCAGTTTGCCTTTTACCGTTCCTCCTACAACTCCAGCTGCCCAATTCTCCTTCTCGCATATTATCAGTCCTATAGTGTATCCTTTTCCTAAATTAGATAATTTCAAATTTCCCTATATCCGCGAGGTTGGTATTAAAAGCTGTATTGAAATCTTGAGTGTGTATTTTTCATGTCAAAATTACACGCAGAATACTGCACAGTTTTGGTTTTTGGACCTTCTCACCGACTGTCTTTGGAAATTACAAGACGAATATCATTTTCCTGAACATTATCAAAAAATTATTATCGAATGGATTCTCTTCGTTCTTGACTTGATACGAGGTTTATTTTCAACTATTTAATAAGTTAGAGATTTTGATTGTTTTGTTTAGATCCACAAAGAAATCTTTCCAGGAAGCAGTTTTTTCAGATTTTTAATGAAGCGGTGTGTATTGCTAATGAAAAAGTTCAAGCTGGATGTAAATTTCTGCCGACACCGGAGAATTTGTTGACTTCTTTACAAGAAGGAGAAGAAGAAGAAATTAGTTTTCCTTCACAAAGCGGACAAAATTCAAGTATTTTATTAACATCAAATGGAGAAAGTTATGTTGCGATTGGTATTGACGAGAACACTGAAATTTTTAAGTTACTTAAACCTGCTCCTAAATGTTTTAAATGTAAATTTATTAGTGTGTTTCATACATGTTTAAAAAAAATTTTAGACGAATATTCACTTGACAACAGTTGGCTTAACGAAAACGACTCAAAAAATTATTTGTGTGGATGCGAGGATTCTGTCAATTTTTATCAACCGAACAATGATACTCCTGAAAGATTTTTGTCTTCTTCATCGTCATCATCATTTTATTCTGTTCCAGATGAAGACGGTTTACCTTCAGACAAACCGGGTAAAAAAATTACGCAAAATATTGGTTTCTTAATAAAAGCTAGTATTTAGATTTTCTATGGAAACGTTCGTCTTTCTCTTCTGAACAATTTTCTAAGACTTGTTCGACGCAAAGAAATTATTTTAGAACATCCAGTTCACAAAACTTAGTTCCTCATAATACTATAATAGATGAATGGACAAATTATTTGGATGAACATAATGATTACATTCAAGATTTGGAAAAAAATTTAATGATTAATGGTTGTGCTTTATTTGCAATTAAACAATTTGTACATGATTAGTAGGTGGAAATTTGTTTACTGTATTTTCGGTTGGTTTATTTTTATATTTTTTTAGCTTTTATGAAAATTTTCAATACACAGTTATTCAACTAGCATTGATTAATAATTTCACTTCAATTACACAGAATATCAATACTCAATGGAATGTTCCCAAAGTGTTGAAAGAGGAACTAAAAAAGCCAAAATTAAAAAAAGAAAGAAAGAAAAAAAAGAAAAAAGAGAAAAAGAAAAAGAAACCAACTAAAAAAACTAAAAGTAAACAAGACAAGCGTAAGAAAAAGAAAGATAAATTAAAAAGAAAGGCAAAGAAAAATGCCAAACAAAAAAAGAAGAAATTAACAAAGGAGGAAAAAGCTGATTTGCTTCGACAAAGACGTGAACAAGAACGGCTAGAAGAAGAGCTCAGAAGAGCCGAAGAAAACCGTCGTATGCTATTTCCACTAAAGGAAGCTACCGATGACAACTTTTTCCATTCTATTTTTGAACATTGGGTCAAGCCTAAGCAAAAAAAGAAGGCTGGAAGTAAAAAGAGCATAAAAAAGAAAAAGTAGCTTTGAGCTCTATCTGTCGGTTGGAAGTCAAACACAGCTTTTCATGTTGCCAGAACACCGACAATAAAAATAGATCACTGAATCAGATTTTATTTTTAGTAATTGTATTTAGTATAATGTAGATGGTAGAATTCGTAATTATTTTTAAAATATAGTAGGTACACGTCATTGTTATTACGATTAAAAGATGTCACGGATTTTATGGATAGTGACTATGAAGTCAATTAACTTACTACAGAAATTAGCACATTGTTGGTATTTATAAACAGTTGACAGAAAAGATGATGTAAAATAAGTAAATGATTATATGTTGTCTAGGAGATTTTAGCTCGTAAAAATCTAAATTTATATCGACATTATTTAAACAACATGAACCCATATCTGTTATGCTTCTTTGATTTAATGCCCTATAATATTTTAATGCGCATAAATAACTCCGTGAATAATAAATTTTATACAGACAAAATTTACATGAAACAATTTTCACAAAAAATTACTTTAGAAAATTGCAATGAAATATTCTTGATTATTGTACAACACAAAGGAAAATATTCTGTCGTTTCGTTTTGAAGACAATTAGGTATAAAAGTTTGACCTAAACAGCTTTATTTTTAAATAATTTTGCCTGTTTAATTACTTTAGTCAGAAAATTCTGTGTAAACCATCGGATCTCATCACTGGCGTCGGAAATATTTATAAGACAGTAGAAAACAAACGGCGTCACAACCAACAGAGTGCAAACTGTGCGCTATGCTAGTTCACATCGTGCCAACTTTTGATCGATTCTGATAAGATGTGTTGTGATGGAATCTGCGAGTGATATTTTAAAAACACCGCATAAACAAGTGGACTTTAGTCGTGCAAGACCTACCTTAATCATACCTCCACCAATAAAAGACCAATGGACCCAATACTCAACCAGTTCCACTCCGCAAAACTTTTCAAGAAAACAATCAATTTTTTACGAAGGAATCGATGGAATAAGAGATTTTACAAAGTCGGGGTTAGGGTTTGGTGAAAAGTGTGCTTATTGGTTATACAAGAAACTTAAAGTGTGGAGTCAAAAATGGTTTACGCACATGTTTTTGACTATTGTACTTATATTTTATACCATTGGTGGAGCTTTAATCTTTGAGGTGATTGAAGGTAAAACAAATATTTATCATGTAATAAGTTTAGGTATTACTAATTTCTTGTTTATGATTTAGCAATGAATAATTTTCAAAAAGTCAAAATGTAAACATAAAGATGCTTAAAATAACTTGAATGTTTAAGTTTGTTGTAAAACAAATGCAAAATCAATTAATTATTAGGAGTATGTTACAATAATAAATATTTTGTGACGTTTGTATATAAATTATATCATCATAGTTAACCTGAAACAGAAGAACATTTGTCCTATAATGTATGTATGATTTAAAATTACTCTAATTTCTTATTAAATAAAAAATAAATAGGGTTCATGAAAGTATCCTTTGAAATGCGATCGTTGGCACTTCTAAATCTCTTAAATTATAATGTTCCAAGAATAATTTTTATTCAATAACAAAACGTGCTTAACATTGTGATCAATTTAACAAACTGGAAGAAAATCCAAATTTAGAATGTCATGTTTGAAAAATTTGTAATATCGTCACAAATCATCATATCAAGGTGAAAATTGGAGAAATGTCTTTTATTTTATTACAAATAAAACAAAATTTATACAGGGTGAATATAAAGTATGGAACCAAGCGGTTTTATTTTTAATCATTTGCCTCCACCAAATAATAATTAATATAAATTAAAGTAATATAAAAAA